AGTACTTTGCTATTTTGGTGTCAAAAGGGTTGGCACCAATTCTTCTTTGAATGTCTGGTAGAATTCTTCTATGGATCCGTCTGGTCCTAGACTTTTTTTGTTGGTAATTTTTAAATCTTGCTGCTTGTTATTGGTCTGTTCAGAGTATCTAATTCTTCCTGATTTAAGCTAGAAGTTGTATTTTTCCAGGAATGTATCCATCTCTTCTAGGTTTTCTAGTTTAAATGCACAAAGGTGTTCATAGTAGCCTCGAATGATTTTTTGTATTTCTGCGGTGTCTCTTGTAATATCCCCCGTTTTGTTTCTTATTGAAGTTATTTGGATTTTCTCCCTTCTTTTCTTGGTTAATCTTGGTAACAGTCTATCAATTTTATTTATATTTTCAAAGAACCAGCTTTTTGTTTCATTTATCTTTTATATTTTTCTGTTTGTTTCAATTTTATTTAGTTCTGCTCTGATCTTGGTTATTTCCTTTTGTCTGCTGGGTTTGGTTTGTTTTTGTTTCTCTAGTTCACTGAGATATGACCTTAGAATGTCAGTTTGTGTTCTTTCAGTCTTTTTGATGTAGGTGTTTAGGGATATGAACTTTCCTCTTAGCACCTCCTTTGCCGTATCGCAGAGGTTTTGATAGGTTGTGTCACTATTGTCATTCAGTTTAAGGAATTTTTAAATTTGCATCTTGATTTCGTTTTTGACCCAATGATCATTCAGAAGAAGGATATATAATTTCTATGTATTTGCAGAGTCTCCAATCTCATCCAGGTTGCTTCCTGGTTTTCAGTGTTCCTTTGGAATAGATTTCCAGTTTTATTTTACAGTGGTCTGAGAGGGTGCTTAATATAATTTCAATTTTCTTAAATTTATTGAGGCTCACTTTATGACCTATGATATGGTCTATCTTTGAGAAAGTTACATGTACTCTTTAATAGAATGTGTATTCTGCAGTTGTTGCATGGGATGTTCTGTATATATCTGTTAAGTCCATTTGTACCCAGGTAGAGTTTAAATCCATTGTTTCTTTGTTGACTTTCTGTCTTGATGACCTGTCTAGTGCTGTCAGTGGAGTATTGAAGTCCCCCACTATTATTGTGTTGCTGTCTATCTCATTTCTTAATGTCTATTAGTAACTGTTTTATAAATTTGGGAACTCCAGTGTTAGGTGCACATATGCTTAGGATTGTAATGTTTTCCTGTTGGACAAGGCCTTTTACCATTGTATAGTGTCCCTGTCTTTTTTAACTGCTGTTGCTTTAAAGTTTGTTTTGTCTGATGTAAGAATAGCTCCCTGCTTGCTTTTGGTGTCCGTTTGGATGAAATGCCTTTTTCCACCCCTTTACTTTAAATGTATGTGAGTCCTTATGTGTTAGGACTATAATGTGATAAAACAAGGCTCCTGAAGGCAGCAGATAGTTGGTTGGTGAATTCTTATCCATTCTGCAGTTCCGTATCTTTTAAGCGGAGCATTTAGACCATGTACATTCAATGCTAGTATCAAGATGTAGGTACCATTTCATTCCTTGTGCTATTTGTTGCCTGTGTACCTTGGTTTTTTGTTTTTGCTTTTCAAATTGTGTGTGTGTGTGTGTGTGTTTTATAGGGCCTGTGAGATTTATGCCTTAAAGAGGTTCTGTTTTAATATGTTTCCAGGATTTGATTCAAGATTTAGAGCTCCTTTTAGCAGTTCTTGTAGTGGTGGCTTGGTCGTGGTGAATTTTCTCAGCATTTGTTTGTCTGAAAAAGACTGTATCTTTCCTTCATATATGATGCTTAGTTTCACTGGATACAAAATTCTTGACTAAGAATTGTTCTGTTTGAGGAGGCTGAAGATATGGCCCCAATCCCTTCTAGCTTGTGGAGTATCTGCTGTTAATACTGATAGGTTTTCCTTTATAGGCTACCTCATATTTTTGTATTAGGTTTTCCTTTATAGGTTACCTGGTGATGCTTTTGCAATGAATTTCCCAGGTCTTCTTTGTGCTTCTTGTATTTGGATGTCTAGGTCTCTAGTGAGGCCAGGGAAGTTTTCCTCAATTATTCCCCCAGTATAGTCTCCAAACCTTTAGATTTCTCTTCTTCCTCAGGAACACTGATTATTCTTAAGTTTGGTTGTTTAGCATAATCCCAGCCTCCCTGGAGGCTTTGCTCCTATTTTCTTATTCTTTTTTCTCTGTCTTTGTTGGATTCGGTTAATTTGAAGACCTGTCTTCAAGCTCTAATTTCTTTCTTCTGCTTGTTTCATTCTATTGCTGAGACTTTCCACAGCATGATGGATTTCTATAAGTATCTCCAATGTTTCCTGAAGTTTTAAGTGTTTTTTTTCTTTAAGCTGTCAATTTCCTTGAATATTTCTCCCTTCACTTCTTGTATTGTTTTTTGGATTTTCTTGCATTGGGCTTCACCTTTCTCTGGTGCCTCCCTGATTAGCTTAATAACTAACCTCCTGAATTCTTTTTCAAGTAAATCAGGGATTTTTTTTTTTTCTTGATTTGGATCACTGCTGGTGAGCTAGTGTGATTTTTGGGGGAGTGCTAAAGAGCCTTGTTTTATCATATTACCAGAGTTGGTTTTCTGGTTCCTTCTCACTTGGGTAGGTTATTATTAAGTCTCAGTCTTTTGGTGAGCCTGTGTCTTTGGACTGTGAACTTCACAAGTGCTTCTTAGTCTTCCCCTTCCCTCCCCTTAGGTGAAACAGCTAGAGTGGCTAGAGCTGGGTATTTCCCTTCCCTTCAGTCAGTTAGGCTGTGAGAAAAACCTAAGTAATTTAAGCTCTGGTCAAAGAGTTTCTCCTGAGGGCAAGCCTTGTTAAGAAGAATAGAACGTTTTGGTATATTTAAAAATTGCTTTTATCCTACCCCTCTTGGAAGGATGAGGGGACTTTTCTCCAATATTTACTGTAAGAACTTGGTTGAGCTCCTGGAGGTAAAATTCACAAAAGTGTGTGTGTGTTTGTGTTAGGGGCGGGGCTTGATAACTGGGTCCTGCTGGGGTTTTTTCTCTCTCACACTTGTCCACCCTGAACCTCCAGCAATTTATCAATTACAGTTCAGGTTTTCCTTACTCCTGGCACTGGTTCCTGCAGAGGTTTCTGCTCTGGTAAGTTGTGATTCTTTCTATTTGCCTGTCTGTCTCTCTGATTTTGGAGGCAGTAGTTTGCCCTGTGACCTCACCTCTCTGAAAGACCTAATAATTGTTGATTTTTTAGTTTGTTCAGCTCTTTACTTGTTGTTAGAATGGAGTGATGATTGTCAAGCTCCTTACATGCCAAACTAGAAACTGGGAGTCTCCTATTTATTTGTCCTTAAAAATTGTAAACTGGACATTGTTGGTGAAGCATTGCAGTGATTCTGATTTCTGTTATCTGAGATGTTGATTTTTGTTTTCACTGGCAGTTAATTAGTGGTCAGTCCCTTTCAACTTATAATGCCTTAGTTTTACACTTTTGTTAGACGAGTCTTCCAGATTTTTCCCTTGATCTTAGGCAGATCCCTCAGTCATAGGACACAGTCTGTACTCCTAGCATGAACTGTTTGTTAAAGCTCATGTCACTGCCCTTTCCTGGCAATGAAGAATAATCAAATTCTACTCCAAACTCTAGGCAAAGATAACAACTATTAATCTCTACTGATCAACTGGACTCTCAGTCACAGGAGGAAAACCAGTAATAGAAGGTTGTCTAAAGGCTTTGAGATCTACTCATTCTCCTAAATATTTCAAATTTTATTTCTGGCCAGATTGGACCAGAAGGCTGAATTCTTAGGCAGTATGGCTTTGCCCCTATAGATTTCCTTGTACTGAGTTGCACGTTGGCACCTGCTTTCATCATATAGTAAAGGATGTGATAAGAAGTTATCAGTGGAACCATCCTAATCTCAGTTTTATTTTTCACAAGAATGCCATTGAGCATTCCATCCTGCAGGGCTCCCTGGAAGAATTTCTCTCCGATCTTAGTACCAGAAAAAGCCCTGCTTCTCCTGAGCAATTGATAAGTTTCTGTTTCACTAATGTTTGGCTACTGATAAGCTCAGAAGCAAGGTCAGTGTTTCGGAACTCTTGTATTTCTGAGGGCTCTTTTGCCTTTATTCCCTTTGTTTATTTAATTATGTTTATTTCCATCAGATACCTTAACTTACTTTTTGTATAGCAAAGGCAAAAGAGGAAAAAATAAAAATAAAAAGTCATTGGAATCATGAAGAGCCAAGGAAGCTGCTATCTTTCCAAACATTTTTGTACTTCCTCTTTTGGATGGCTTTCATAGCCATATTTGAATACATATAAGACTGTCATCTTCAACCCAAAGTGAAATTACTTACCTGCCTTTCCACTTGATTCACCAATTGGTATTCAAGAACTCGATTTTCAAAAAAATCAAATTTACTCCTAAAGGGCAGAGGTTAAAAATACTTAAAAAAAATTACATCCTGATTTTGTGTCAATATAGATACTCGAATGAGTATTGTACTGGCTCTGAAGGCAAGCCCGAGGAGAAGTTCCAAATCATTTTACTTTGGGCACAGTGGCTCCTGCTGACAATCCCAGCATTTTGGGAGGCTGGCACAGGAGGATTGCTTGAGGCCAGGAGTTTGAGACCAGCTTGAGCAATGTAGCAGAACCCTGTCTCCAAAAAAAAAAAAAAAAAAAAAAAAGCTGGGCATGGTGGTGCATGCCTGTAGCCTCAGCTACTTGGGAGGCTGAGGTGGGAGGATTGTTTGAGCTCAGAAAGGTTGAGGCTGCAGTGAGCTAGGATCATGCTACTACACTCCAGCCTGGGCAACAGAGCCAGATCCTGGCTCAGAAAACAGAAACAGAAACAGAAATGAAAATAAAACAAAACAAAACACCTTGGACCACAGGATCATCATTGGAAGGAGCAAATAGATTCTCAAGGTAATTTCTTTGACAGAGAGAGCCATCACTGGAACATTTGGTGATCTGGTAGGTTTGAATTAATGTATAATCAACTGCTGGGGTTAGCGAGGTGTTTGTTGCCATTCCCTCTCTAGGTGGAGCCAGAGCATGTGATGGGAGCACCGGGCCTGAGCTGCAGCATAAGTTTCCTCTTATTTTCAACCTGGAAGACGATATCGCGGAAGCTGCGCCTCTAGAAAGAGGTGGTGCGGAGTACCAGGCTGTGCTGCCCGAGGTCAGAAAGGTTCTTGCAGACGTCCTTCAAGACATTGCCAATGACAACATCTCCAGAGCAGATTACACTCAAGACCCTTCCGTAACGCCCTGCTGTAATCCCTGCCATATTGCCTGCCGCTGCCAAGCCACGTAGCAGACCAGTTATTATTCCATAAGGAGGAATATCTGGAAACGCGACGAGCAAGTTTGCTTCCAAACTTCATGTTTACCCTCTTTACAAACACACACTTTAGTTTAGTCTTGGAATTTAGTTTTGCATGCACCGCCTTACGTATCCCTTCATTATCGTGTCCCTCCTCCACGCCAGCCTGAGAGAGCAGCTGAGCCGCACTGGCTCTGGGCAGGGAGTGTGCCCTAATGGGAAGCACACGGGCTTTGGAGTCAGGCCCAGGTGCCAGCTCCGGCGTTTGAACTTGGGCGATTATTTGACCTAACTTACAAGTTCATTTTGAGAGTTAAATAAAGGCATGTAAAAATGCCTGGTGTGTTACCTGACACAGAGCAGATATTCAGTACATTTCAGTTTCCTCGTTTCTCTGGTTGTTTTGGCATGAATCCATTCTAATTAGTATCTGGGACAGAGCTTCTCTATTTTTTTTTTCCTTCCGCGAACCCGTGTACTCACTGGTTTCCATCTTTAATATGCAAACAAATCACCTGGGATCTTATAAGAATCCAGATTCCATCTTAGTAGGTCTCAAGTAGAGCCTGAGATCTTAGATTTCTAGCAAACAGTGCCTTAAAGAGCACAGATTTAGACCAAAGTTAGGTCTTTTTCCAGATCTCAGAGCAGACGAGTCCATGGATAAGTCTGTGGCCCGATCCACTTCCTCTCCTTCTAAGGGTGAAATGACCGCATTTAAGAGATGTTAAAGAGTTCTTCCTGACCCCTAAAACCACGAGGAAATAAAATAAAATGTAAAAACCTCAAAAATGCAATGCCATGATTTTATTATTAGTGTCCAAAATGGGACTCCCAAGTAATAATGATTTATTCCAGTCACAGCAAAATAAAGACTTTGCCTGGCTAAAATAGACTAAGTGTGTAATATACAGGAAATACAATTCAAAGATATGTTCCTATAAGTACATTTTTTACACGGCATATATTTAAAAAGGAGACCCCTTTTAATATAAAATTCCGGTTATATACCAATATGGTTAATCAGCATTTACACTATGGTTGGAACATATTTTAAATAGCATAATGTGTGTACGATGTCTCCCACGCCCACTGGCAACCAGGGTTGCGGGAAGCTTGGTGAGGAGTTAACCACGTTCTGTGGTTTAAGCAGTGTAGCACCTGGGATTCCTGCCCCCCTTTCTGCTCACACAATTGCACTCCATTCTTCCACCTTCCATGTTTTCTCCAAAACCACCTGATAGGGGATGTCCTGATTTCTGAGGTGTGCTTCTCATCATGACTGCTTCGTTTTGCCCTTCTGATTTCCACGGCACAAGATTATCTACCAAAATCAAAACAGAATGGCCTTACCTTCTCAGAAAGAGGCTGGCAGGCAGGTGCATTATCAACAGGTCTGTGCCCATGTCAAGTGAGCAGGGGGAGGCTGAGCACTGCCAAGTTTTTCTGTCTGACCTCGCTCATGGCCACAGAACACTCACACAGCTTCTTTAGGTTTACACAAGTATGACATAGTTCTAGAAAATACTGACTGTATAAAAATGTCTGTGTATTTATATGTATAAATTTTTTAAAGGCTCATCTTACTTGTAAACATGGACTGCTCAATCACTATTAAAAAGTCAGTTTAGGCTGGGCATGGTGGCTCATGCCTGTAATTCCAGCACTTTGGGAGACCAAGACAGGTGGAACACGAGGTCAAGAGATAAAGACCATCCTGGCCAACATGGTGAAACCCCATCTACTACTAAAAAGACAAAAATTAGCCAGGCATGGCAGTGCAAGCCTGTAGTCCCAGATACTTAGGAGGCTGAGGCAGGAGAATAGCTTGAACCTGGGAGATGTAGGTTGCAGTGAGCAGAGATCATGTCACGTGAGACTCCACCTCAAAAAAAAAAAAAAAGAAAAAAAAATTTAGGCTCATGCCTGTAATCATAGCACTTTAGGAGGCTGAGGTGGGCAGATCACCTGAGGTCAGGAGTTTGAGACCAGCCTGGCCAGCATAGTGAAACCATGTCTCTACTAAAAATACAAAACTTAGCTGGGCCTGGTGACATGCCTGCAATCCCAGCTACTTGGGGAGCTAAGACAGGAGAATCACTTGAACCTGGGAGGTGGAGGTTGCAGTGAGCGGAGATTGTGCCAACACACTCCAGCCTGAGGGACAGAGTGACACTCTGTCTCAAAAAAAACTCCAAAAACTCAGTTTATACCCTTGGGCCTTATTTTCTTACTCTTGCTCACAAGATTGGGACTAGTCTCACAAAATACACAGACTTGTACAGGTTGGCTTGTTCCCTGAAACAAAAGCTTCTCATCCTTCTGAATGTAACAGCTTTCTAAGGTACCAGAAATGATCAGGTCTCCTTTTCTTTCATTGCTCTCGGAGCAAAAGTAAATCCCAAGAAGGCAAGCGTGAGCCTATGCAGGGAAATGTCAGTATATGTTCTAAAAAGATCACTAGTGATGGCAACGATTCTCCTGCCTCAGCCTCCCGAGTACCTGGGATTACAGGTGCATACCGCCATGCCCCGCTAATTTTTTGTACCTTTAGTAGAGATGGAGTTTCACCATGTTGGCCAGGCTGACCTCAAACTCCTGACCTCATGGTCCGCCTGCCTCGGCCTCCCAAAGTGCTGGCATTACAGGCGTGAGCCACCACGCCTGGCCTGGCCTGCATTCTTAAGGCAGCGGCATGACCATTCAGAGTAAAGACACAAAGAGGAAGTTCTCCAGTATCCCTCATTGAACATTTCTGTCAATTCAGGCATGACTGAGACGGTCCATGTTGACAGAGCACCCTAGGAGCACACATGCCTCTGGTCCTTACGTGGTGAGATGGAGAAGCCTGCCTGCTATCACCATCTACCTGCAGGCTGGAGGGCAGGCCGAGGGGTTGGTGGCTACCACAACACCCAGCCCTGCACACAGTGGCTGCCTGACACTCACGAGGATCTAGCACCCATGCTAGGGACCTTGTTTGGTGACCACTCACTGGCAGGAATTATTTCTTGTGTATAAATAAGGATTCCTGATGCAATTTCAACCAGCTTTCACTCATTTGGTCCATAGGAGGGATAAGAAACAACTGTCTCATGCCCAGCTTCCTGGCACCCAATGGGCACACAGGCCTCAGGGCAAACTTTCACACTAGTTCTTCAATTAAGCGCCTCCCCTTTTCCTTTTTACCCCAAACAGACAATCTGCACAAGGTACCTATTATTTTATACAGGTTTTCTTTGGCAAGGGACTACCTCCTAACTGCCAACATCCAAAGTGCCCCCATTCCTTAAATATAAGAGGTTGCGAACCCTGCAACCTCTTATATTTACAGAATGGGGGCACTTTGGATATTGGCAGTTTACAATATCCAAATGATCAGTTTACAATATGTGATTATAATTCAGAATCAAATCATCTTTTATAGTAGTCACAGACTTTTACCAAAGTTTGTGAAACGGAACCTAGTGAGTGTCTGGATGCTCTAAACCCTGACAGAGTAGAATAGTCACATTTGTCCCCACAGTGTCTGAACTAGAGTGCCCTGGTTCCTGGAAGACTCAACTTCAAGTAAATAACACTGCCTTTTGAGGGTACAGAAAAACTCCCTTTAAGGCCAGCTGGGGCCGTGAGAACCCAAAGGCAAAACAACAGGTTTATAGTTAGGAAGCATGCCAACAGATGTTTTGAAGTTTATAATTTGTGTGTGTGTGTATGCATATACATGTATGTGTATATATATATATATACACACACACACACATTTTTTTTTTTTTTTGAGGTGGAGTCTCACTCTGTTGCCCAGGCTGGACTGCAGTGGCACAGTCTTGGCTCACTACAATCTCTGCCTCCCAGGTTCAAGCAATTCTTCTGTCTCAGCCTCCCGAGTAGCTGGGACTACAGGCGTGTACCACCAAGCTCGACTAATTTTTTGTATTTTTAGTAGAGATGGGGTTTCACCATGTCAGCCAGAATGGTCTCGATCTCCTGATCTCATGATCCTGCCTTGGCCTTCCAAAGTGCTGAGATTACAGGCATGAGCCGCCACGCCCAGCCTATAATTAGTATTTTTAAGAACAACTGCTCTCTGCCACTACAATAGAAACTTCACTTGCTGGCCATGTCTCTGACAACCTGCCTATTGAAAGCCAGAAATGCAAAAGCTCAAGCTACGATCCACAGAGCCAATGTGGAAAATCACAAACACCTCCCGACCCTGCACAGAGGGCCCCACGGCGGCTTTGTTTCCTAAGCCAAATGCTGAGGGCTGCTGAGAAGCGATTTGGGGACTATCTTAATCCCATCAGCTGTGTCATCAAGGAACAGACAGTAGCTCAGATAAAGGCCACTGTGAAACGCAAGGTATATGAAGACTCTGGCATCCCCCTTCCAGCTGAGTCACCCAAGAAAGGGCCCAAGAAGGTGGCATCTGGTGTCTTGTCACCTCCAGCTGCCCCTCCTCCCAGCAGCTCCAGTATCCCTGAGGCCAGGGGTCCCCCCATAAAGAAACAGAAGGCTGATGTGACACTCAGTGCTCTGAACGACTCCGACGCCAACAGTGACCTGGTGGATATTGAAGGGCTAGGAGAGACTCCTCCAGCTAAGAAACTCAACTTTGACCAGGCCTGAACCTGGATTCTGGCCTTCTCATGACTTCTGCTGATCCTCCTCTCCTCTCCTGCTGAGGCTTCCTCCTCTGACCCCTCTCACTGTTCATGCCAGACCTGTGGATCACCTGGGACTCTGAGCAAGGTCTGCATGAGAGAGGGCTGAAAGGCTGCGGGGGCTGCCACCTTGCTGTTCCCACATAAGCATCTGCCCCCAGCCCCTTTGACCTTCATCTGATGGACATTTTTTACAGAAAATAATAAAGATTTCCATAGATCTGTGGGAGAAAGAAGCAAGCCCTGTGCTCCATCCTTTTACAACTGGAATCTCAACTGACACAAAACAGTGATCAGGAGACGTTTCCATAACTAAGCCTCATGGGCATTGCTTCAGCGCCCAAATGGTGACTCCTCTCTGGCTCTAGGAGTTGATGCTTCAAGTCTTGTCCCAAACACTACTTCCGTCTGGGCGTGGTGGCTCACGCCTGTCATCCCGGCAGGCCGAGATTACAGGAGGCCTGCCGGGATTACAGGAGGCCAAGGCAGGTGGATCACTTGAGGTCAGGAGTTCGAGACCAACATGACCAAAATGGTGAAAATCCGTCTCTACTAAAAATACAAAATATTAGTCGGGTGTGGTGGTGCACGCCTATAGTCCCAGTTACCCTGGAGGCTGAGGCAGGGCAATCTCTTGAACACAGGAGGTGGAGGCTGCAGTGAGCTGAGATCATACCACTGCACTCCAGCCTGGGTGACAGAGCAAGACTCCATCTCAAAAACAAAACAAAACAAAACAAATCACTACTCCTATCTTGAAATGATTTCAGTTTGACTATTAGGGATGCCTTCTGACGGAAGCTCCCAAGGGCAGTCTGTATGTTATTCCAGATGGGAGCTTGGAGAATCAGAAGTTAAGGAAGCCCTGGCAGCCACCCAGGAGAGAATCTTTTTAGTTGCAGGTGCTCGAAGAAGCCACGCCCAGCACCCAGCCAGCCCCAAGGGCCCTAGCTGTGGGAACAGCCTGAGCATGTTGCTGGGAAACCCAGCTAAAGCTCCCGCCCTGCACCTCCCACCCTCCACAGAGCACACAATTGTTTTTTTCTTTTCTTTTCTTTTCGTTTTGAGATAGGGTCTCACTCCTTCACCCAGGCTGGAGTGCAGTGGCACAATTACAGGTCACTGTAGCCTCGACCTCCCAGGCTCAGGTGATCCTACCATCTCAGCCTCCTGAGTAGCTGGGACTACACACACACGCCACCATGCTGGCTAACTTGCTTTTTTTTTTTTTTTTTGGTGGAGATGGGGTTTTGCCATGTTGTCCAGGCTGGTATCTAACTCCTGCCTGGGCTCAAGCAATCCTCCAGCCGTGGCCTCCCAAAGTCCTGGGATTATAGGCATGAGCCACTGCACCCAGCCAGTTGTCTTTCTTTTCTTTTCTTTTTTTTTTTTTTTTGAGATGGAGTTTCACTCTTGTTGCCCAAGGTGGAGTGCAGTGGCATGGTCTTGGCTCACTGCAACCTCCACCTCCCGGATTCAATAAATTCTTCTGCCTCAGCTTCCCGAGTAGCTGGGACCACAGGACTACAGGCACGTGCCACCACACTGGGCTAATTTTTGTATTTTTAGTAGAGACGGGGATTCCATATTGGCCAGGCTGGTCTCAAACTCCTGACCTCATGATCTACCCACCTCAGCCTCTAAAAAGGGCTAGAATTACAGGTGTGAGCCAGGGCGCCCAGGCCCCCTAGCCAGTTGTTTCTTAATATTTGCAGCTGCTGGAGAGGTACAGGTCTGCCCAGCCAGAGCTGCAGGTGAGGGTCAAGCTCGCCCGCAGAGTGCAGCAACCCAGCTCAGAGTCCTGAACACACAACCCAGCCCTCTGAAACCACCCCTTCCAGCACAAGGAAGGCAGCATTCTGCAAAAGCATCCATAGGAGCCTCAGGAAAATAAGTGTTACACAAGGCACATGTTCCTACCTACCAGGCAGCAAAGTCAGTGCTATAGAAGCAAAGGAAGTGATCCCAGGCCTCTGGCTGGAGGGAGGCCACCAAGACTCCCTGGATTAGTATTCAGTGACTCTAATGCTGTCAGGGTTTAGCTTGGCACCTAAAGGCTAGTCTGCAGGATTCGAAGCACACAGTACAACAAACATCTTACGGTTTTCTGAATACTAGAGCAGAGGATTAGTTGTGATAGACTAGAAAACAGGGAAAGGGCCTCCGCCTCTCAGATGAGGCTAGCGTTTCCTTCTAATCACACAGACTGAACCACCCGGTTACGGGTTCCTAATGCTCACAGGAGGGAATTCATTCTCATCATCAAGACACACTGGTCCCGTCGCAAACTCATGTTCAGGAATAACTTCTCCTCGCAGCGCCCCGCCGTCCTCGGAATAACCTGGAAACCAAGAAAGAGACATGAAACAAGCCCTGGGATCTGCTTTTATGCCATGACCTGGCGGGGCAGGGGACTCATATAAAGGGGCAGAGGAAGCAGGGAGGCTGTCTTTCCCCTAGGACAAGTCACAATCCTCACACCTGCCACCTTTAAGCCTGACCTGCCTTTCCACTTCAGAGGCCCGAAACATCCCATCTCTTTGAATTTCTTTTTTTGGTGGGGAGGGTCTCATTATGTTGCCCAGGCTGGTCTTGAACTCCTGAGCTTAAGGGATCCTCCTGCCTCAGCTTCCCAAGTGGCTGGGACTACAGGCTCTTTGGAATTTTTAGTTTAGTTTTTATTTTTTGAGACAGAGTCTCACTCCGTCACCCAGGCTGGAGTGCAGTGGTGTGATCTCAGCTTACTGCAATCCCTGCCTCCCTGGTTCAAGCTATTCTCCTGCCTTAGCCTCCTGAGTACTGGGATTACAGGTGTGTACCAACATGCCTAGCTATTTTTGTTTTTCCCTTTTTTTTTTTTTTTTTTTAGTAGACACAGGGTTTCACCATGTTGGCCAGCCTGGTCTCAAACTCCTGACTTCAAGTGATCAGCCTGCCTCAGTCTCCCAAAGTGCTGGGATTACAGGCATGAGCCACTGTGCCCAACCTCATTGGAATTTTTGAAGAGGCAAAGGGTTAACACCACTTGTTAGGAAAAAGACGATCTTGTGCGATGCCTTGCCAGGTTAAGGGTCCCAGGTTAAGGGTCCTATGACCGTGGCCTCACCTGTGAGGAAATTAAAAATTCGAGGAGAGTGCTCTACCCCCAGGTCACAGTGAAGGGAGAAGGAGAGCGGGGTCACTGTTGGAGACGCTCCCTGTTGGCCCCGTCCCCACCCACCTGGCACCGTAGAGGCTGAAGATGCACTTGGTCTGGCTACAGTTGCTGCGTAAGACTGAGGTAAGGAAGGTCTGAGGTCATTTTCTTTATTCTCTTCTGTTGTTCCTGAGCCAAGCAAGCTACTTGTGACAAGAGGGGGTGAAAGAAAAAGATCGTCATATATCTAGGACACTTTCCAAAGGAAAAGCATGCGGAAGCTTGGGCTCAGCTCTGTGGGTTGGTTGGTTGGTTATTTATTTTTTTATTTATTTGAGATGGAGTTTTTGCTCTTGTTGCTCAGGCTGGAGTGCAATGGCACAATCTTGGCTCACCGCAACCTCCACCTCCCGGGTTCAAATGATTCTCCTGCCTCAGCCTCCCGAGCAGCTGGGATTACAGGTATGCACCATCATGCCTGGCTAATTTTATATTTTTAGTAGAGACAAGTTTTCTCCATGTTGGTCAGGCTGGTCTCGAACTCCTGACCTCAGGTGATCCGCCTGCCTCAGGCTCCCAAAGTGCTGGGATTACAGGCATGAGCCACCATGCCTGGCTAGTTATTTATTTTTGATACAGGGTCTTGCTCTGTCACCTAGGCTGGAGTGTAGCAGCATGATCTCAGCTCAGTGCAACCTCCACCTCCCAGGTTCAAGGGATTCTCCTGCCTCAGTCTCCCAAGAAGCTGGGACTACAGGCGCCCACCACTGCACCTGGCTAATTTTTTGTATTTTTAGTAGAGATAGGGTTTCACCATGTTGGCCAGGCTGGTCTTGAACTCCCAACCTCAGGTGATCCACCCACCAACTTTGTGGGTTTAAATCGTAGACCTACCCACATGCTGCTGGGCCAGGATGACCTGAAGTGACCTGAAACCACCAGGGGCAGTCACATACCTTCAAAATGGCCCCTTTGTCTTATATTGACTAAACAAAGATTGGTCCTCTGCTCTTCCCAGTGCACTAAGGTGAGGACATGTGGGCAAAGTGAGGGACCACAGGTGAGGGGCAGTGGCAGCTTGTACCCTGGCCACAGCAAGAGAGCTCAGTCTGTGCTTGTTCACAGAAGGCATGAGCACTTTTGTTTTTTCTTTTCTTTTCTTTTTTGAGACAGGGTCTCACTCTGTTGCCCGGGCTGCAGTGTGATGGTGTGATGCCAGCTCACTGCAGCCTCAACCTTCCCGGGCTCAGGTGATCCTCCCACCTCTGCCTCCCGAGTAGCTGGGACTGCAAGGCATGTGCCACCACACCTGGCTAATTTAGACATATATATTTTTTGTAAGGATGGGGTTTCACCATGTTGCTCAAGCTGGTCTCCAACTCCTGAGCTCAAGCCATCCTCCCTCCTTGGCCTCCCAAAGTATTGGGATTACAGATATGAGTTAAGGTGCCTGGTAGAGCACTTTTCAATTCAATGCAGGGAACAATTTTTTTTTTTTTTTTTTTTTTTTTTTGAGAAAGGGTCTCACTCTGTTGCCCAGGCTGGAGTGCAGTGCTGTGATCATGGCTCACTACAGCTTCAACCTCTCCAGGCTCAGGTGATCCTCCTACCTTAGCCTCCCGAGTAGCTAGGACTACATATGTGTGCCACCACACCCGGCTAATTTTTGTATTTGTTTTTGGTAGAGATGGCGTTTCACCACGTTGCCCAGGCTGGTTTTGAACTCCTGGACTCAAGCCATCCGCCCGCCTCAGCTTCCCAAACTGCTGGGATTACAGGTGTGAGCCACCATGCCTGGTGGCAGCAAATATTTCTTAACACCCACTATGAGCTCCGGGTTACGTTAGAAAGACAGGCCGAGGTGGAAATCATCTCGTGTGTTATTAATTGTGGCACTTTTCCAGATGATACCACAGGCAGAGGGCGCCTGACACAGAGCCCAGGGCAGAGCAGGTGCCCGCTAGAGGTTTGCCACTGAGACTGCCAGTGAGGAACACATCAAAGCAAGGGCACTAAAGCTTGTTGTTCTTGGCAAAGAGACAACTCTACACAACCGACTCAAAAGTCTGTCTTTTGAAA